TTTTTTTTTTTTTTTTTTTTTTAGATTTTGACTGTCCAATTAATACAGGTCACCCTTTCATCTCGATAAATTTAGCTTGAAATTCCCTAAATTTCAGAATGCATGACATATTTTCCTTTTCCCCACCCCATCCCTTTCTTTTTCTTTTTGAACAAAATGGCAGATATGAATAAAAGTTAAGGATAGGGAATAAAAGCGAACACAGCTTGAAGCAAGGTCAAAGACAAGTACTGACAGACAGACAGACAGCAGACATCACAAAGCTAAAGACTGAAATACAAAGTGAATATCCACAGGGTGAAACTTTTTATTTTAGCAAAACATCCATGTAGAAAATGGAGGTCTCTCCTGCAGCTGACAAACAAAGCAGCTCTTAACTAACCTAAAGCATAATCATTAACAGAAGTTCACCCTGTGATAATTGTAGGAAGAACAGAATTATCAGTGCCATGTATAAGTGACCATAGTTGGTCAGCAATCCATATTCTTAAAAGGCTATCTTGTAAGTTCCCCTTATATCATAAAATGTGGCCTGACATTTTGAGACTACTACCAGACTTTATGGAGGCAGATGTTGAAACTTGCCCAAAGAAGGCAAGAGGGAAAGCGAACAAATGTGTCATGATGATACACCCAACACAAAATTCTTCAAAAAAACTCAATTGTTTCCTTGTTCTACTTCGTTAATGTATACAAAACCAAACAACCAATTCATCTAATAAAACAAATTACTGCAAAAAATAATTAATTCTAAAATACAGAAGTGTTACCTTGACACAAGTTACTGAAAAAACATACTTTTTAGCGTGCATTGAGTGCATAAAAATAATTAGACCAGAAAGAATGTGTTCAGTGCATAACAAGACTACATATCTACCCAGAGCAAAGGCGGCTGCTCCATGATCCATGGGATGATGGTGTGCAATGGAATCCCCGGTTGGGAGACTGGGGTTGGTGTAATCTCTGCTCTTTTCATTATTATACTTGACATTAAGGCTGGACAGCTTGGAGAAGTCTATGCGCAGAGAGTTGCACCCTGTATAGATATTCTGCCCATCAAGTGACTAATTAAAGGGAAAAAAAATAAAATTTCATATAATTTTTCTAGTCAGGTTTACAATTGACTAAGTACACACTACTTTGAAAACTGCATTCATCATATTTTCTTTTATCTCCAATTTCTTGTAAAAGATGTTTAAACTTAAATACCAAGGTAAAAACATTAAAAATAATCAAAAAACAAAACACTTAATTTTGGTAGCATAAGCTGTTATTCAAATAAACTCTATCAGATAAAATTATTGTAGCTCCCAGACTAGCGGCACTGCCAATCACTTTGCACATAAGTGCTATGACAACTGAAAATTAAACAACTACAATAGACATATCTGATAGCAATTCATAGGAGTCGGGTGTCTTGCTTTCATACTCTGATAGCACAATATCATAGCAGTTGGGTTAATCAGAGAGGCAAGTATCATATGATCTGCAAAATTGGAGCCATTTATTGTATGACTGGCTGCAAATAAAGCTCAATGCCATCTTCATTTACCCCAGAGCACAGATGTTAAGATGTTCAAATCTCAAATCACTCATTTCCTCATTAGTTTCAATTTACTGCACCACAAAGGGAAACTTCAATCTCAGTGGGTTCACTTTTAGAAATCTTTAAACCCTACAGAGGCCTTGTCAGTCTCTGCTGGAACTGAAGTTAATCACAAACTCTGTAGAAATTCTTTACATTTGTGAACCCAAATTTCTGTCTCTCAGGCCAAGATATCAGTGGCCTCATCTGTCCTTCGTTAGTACTAGCAGATACCAGTATGAAAGTATCCTGAATGTCACCATTGTGACATTGTGTTGGTGGAGACTCGACAATGTAAGGGCTGCCTAATTACCATTTTTGCACATTTAACAGGTTTTACATGTCAGCAATTTTTGGCACAACCCAACAATATTCATTAAATCATACCAATATATTTTTTTTGTTTTGTTTTTTGGCACATACAAACAGGTTCCAGGGCTCTGCAGGCAATGAGACTGGGTGTACTTTTGGTCTAGAAATAGTCCTTCACCTGAGATGAATTAATGCCAACAGTGTCTTGTTTATTTTAGAGCATCTTAGATACAACCACACAGCATTATATTCACCTGCTAGATTGAGGGGTAAAAATTATACTGGAGGTTTAGTAACTGTATATCTTCCAAATAAGGGCAACAGTCTTAAAAATCTAGTCTATCAAAATATTTGAGGACTAATTTGTGGCAGGCTTTGTCTAACTTGACAGTCAATGATGTCTCAATGCATTTGTTCCATCATTAACCACAATGTGAAAACTAGACACAAACTCAAATAAGGTAGCTCTCATATTGAAAATTGTGAGACATGAAACTTTATACATAACTATGTGCCACACAAAATATATATGTACAGTTATGCGGACTATCAGTGGGTTAAACTGAAAATTGTTAGACATGCAGATCATCGGTAATGCTCATAATCTGGCAGCAGTTGGGCAGACCTGAATGTGCTGTTGGAGATAACTGTAACAATGTTTTGATTGAAAAAAGCATCGCTCATGTGTTGTTATGTGCCTCAATTAGGCTATTACCACCATGTGGTTCATCGGCAAATGGAACCTGATTCACATATACTTACCAGTTTGCCAGCTTGTGCAGCTACTGGATCTGCCATCTGTATTAAGGCCTGGAATGAATCTGAAAGGAGAAAAACAAGTGTCACAAAGACTAACAAGTAAAATGGGGAAAAGGAGAATTGGGAAGGGAGTAATAATGAAAGTCAGCAAATGGTTTAATTTTCAAAATAAAAAATCATTAAAAATGTTTTGGAGGATTTTTCATTTAAGAATCATTTATGACTTAATTGTGCTATTTTTATTCTTTATGATACAGACTGTCAGTCTGAAGACCTTTTTGTCCCTTGTGGTTAACAGTAATGCTGCACCACTAAGTGCTCTACTCTATCTGGATTTATCTCCGGCATGATGATCAGTTAAGCCTTAAATGGATATTCTTTTAATGTGAACTGAAGCAAAAGAACAACTGACTTAAAAGCTTCCTATAAGGCCTCCCTTGATCTGAACACATGGGCCCAGCGCCAGTGTCACCAGCATGCCCAGAATATGGGCAATGACGAAGGGGAGCCCATTATACATGCATGCATAAACGTTTATGCATGCATGCATTATTGCATACAATACGCCAATTGGTGGAAACATTCTAATCCACTAATTCTTGAAAATCAAAAATCAATAATACATGCTGTCACTGCATTGGAACACAGCTGATTAATGTTACAGTTGGCTGCACTAAGTTCGCAATTATATGGCATTATAATGGTCACAGCAGTTTGTTCTATACAAGTTGATGTGTCACATACACAGACTAGATATCTACATGCTGCCAGGGCCATTACTAAGTAACAGGCAGATGTGAAATGGGATTAATCTGAGTTATCACATTTCAACAATTAAGCAAGCAAGCAAACCTATGAGATTAGAGACCAATTTCGATTTCACCTCAGCTGGCAACTTCAAAACAAACAGTAGTATTTCATACTGAGAATCTTTCTTCTGAATGGCCTTTTTTATTACTCATACTATTATTGTATAGTAAATTTAAATTCATATTTCATTTCATTCCTTCATTTATAATTCTTTGAAATAAAAGCACTTCAGTGGGTTAAAGACCCTCACACCCACTGTCTGATATCATGAGCTAGCAATGCTTTATCTGGTGATTATTCTTTTGAATATCTAGGAGGGAATTCTCTTTGGAAAAAAAAAACAGCAATTATAGTGAATGTATATTTCAGCATGCCTCGTGCCTCGTACTTATCCAATTTTGTCAGGGCTCTTGATCGAATGACACAGCAGATTCTGGTGCCATTATTCTGGTGGCCACCTTATCACTACAGCAACAGCTGTGATGGTAGGTCAACACTTCCATTAAAGTTTCAGGAAACCCATTTGTTCCAAGTGATAGGCATATTGAATCAGTGCATGCCTGACGACCTAGGCATTGACTGGACACATTAGCTGGAGACAGAATCATCTGTCACTCACTCACTGATGCATTGCCAGGATTCAGTTTGCTCATCTACATTTTTGTTCTATAAACATATGTTTATGATGCTGCTATTTGCCAAACCTGTTAGCTCCCCAAAACCCTCTGCATGCAGTACATCACTGTATTTTTTTGTACAAACATACAAGAGGGAACAGCTGGACTTCTTCCCTTCTTTTGCTTTTTTGCCATACTCAAAACATGCTGGTTACAAGCTAGCAGAGAGGCTGCATAAACCTTTAGATCCAGGTTGTACTGGTTGTTAATCATAAAAGGGAGTGGCTGAATGTTCACAATTTAATATGAACATATATGTCCCAATGACAAAATGTAAACTCTTTCAGGTTTCTATGAAATCTGCCACCATCTCTGACAACAGATTAGATACCCTGTCCTTCAGGCATACTGTAGATGTTTACTTACTGTTTTTTGTAAATGTGATGATCTTTAAAACAGTTCCAAATTTTGTAAAGATCTGGAAAGTGGAACATGGAGAAATCAACTGTCTGTCATGGAATAATATGAAAATGAAGATTTTCAGAAAAATTTTTAGATTCAACTCACAAGTTGCAAAATATTTATCAATCAATAGCTTTTAAGAAATTATTTTTTAAATAAATAAATAAATAAAATTGGCAATATCAATAGATGAATTAATAATTCAGTAGTTGTAATAATGACAATTCCACATTAAGGACATGGTATTGTTAAGCTAGAAGTGTCCTCCTACCTGGTAGAGAACTTCTATTGTAACTGGGTAGATCATATTTTCTACAATGACCCTCAGAACTGTCTTCTGTCCCTCCCCCTGGACACTGTCTGCCGCCTGTAATGCTGCCTGGGCTGCAGGATTCTGAAAGAAACACCAGTCATATTTTAATACTTCTATACAGTGCAAAAAGAGGGAAATGTGCAGTAAAAAAATTGGTGCAGCACAAGAATATGCAAAAAACATCATAATCACCATGAAACATTTGCTTTGCATTGAAATTGAGGATCTCTCCCTCTCTCTCATCCCCACTACGAATTAAATAATTCAAATATTTTTTTGGACTAGTGCCATCATTTTCAAAGGGCAACAGCTTGCAGATAAACCATAGTTATACATAATACATCTTTATAAAGATGGAGGTGCCAATTAAAATGCAATTTAGGACTGACAATTTCTCTTCACATGCTTTTTTGTGAATAAAATTACCCTAATTACTATTTCTGGATTACTTTTTTCACAGCAATTTTATATTATTATAGCAAATTTACTTTTAAAAGCTTTTTGTTCCAGATTAAAGTACAGAGCAATGAGGAACATTGTATTAAATTTTATTAAAGAATTTAGATCTGCCTTCGAAATCCTGCAGCCAAAATATTTACTCTGCATCCGAATCCAAGCTTCAGTTAAATGTTGGACACTTTAATTTATCAAACCAACACTTCAATCAATTCAAACAATGGTACGAAATCCTATGCCATTAAGTGAAAGTATGTTGTCTTTTAGTTCATCATAGAATTCATGACTCTAACTTCAATACATCAAAAGACACCAATACCCTGGATCAACTATATAACCTCAAGTGCTGAAATTTGCCACAACCACTGCATAAGGGCCCTTTCTATGTATAAGGTAAAAACAACAAGATTTCTATCTAAAACCATTTTTTTTCCAAATTACAAATGGGTTTTAGCAGCGTCAAAGTAACTTAAACAACATCACAACAGATAAAAAAGAATTCAAAATGAACCATCCACTTCACCATAGAAATATAATGTACAAAGAGCATGTGTGATATCTGAATCATTCTATACAAATAATCATCAACCAATTTCCTGTAAAAATTGTCTGCTCTTGTAATTCAAACACATGGATACATTATGACAAGTGACCCATGTAGAATGAGCAGGATGGCAATATCTACTACCTAATGGCAACAAGAACTCAATCTTCTACGGTTGCATAGTGAAAAATATCTGCATATGTTTTATGTGGCTTTGGGGTCTATTGATCAATTTTAATAGCCAAGATGCCTCAACATTAACAGTTTTTGTCATACTGGAAAGCCCATATTTTCCTTCAATTTTCTTGCAAATCTACAGCAAGATTTTATTACTTTACAGAAACTAAGTCTTATAGCATTCTGTACTAACAACTTGTTCTATCTTCTCTATTCATAACCTCCCTGTTGAAAACATTTTAATTGTGGTTGAGCAACCTCTAATCTTCATTAAGCAGAAAGAAACAAGCTATCACTAGCCAAGTCAAATCGGCATGCACATAGATGTTTTCAAGCCACGACTACACCAAGCACTCAAATGTCAACATTCAGGGAAGGGTCTTTTTCAAATAATCTTTTGTCTCATTTCACTGATATAAATCACTTATCTGTTGGGTAAACAGATGGTGATATATCATATACACACACACTTTTACAAACACAAAAATATTGCTCAATACACTTTGTCAAATATATTTGATGTCTTATCATAGCTAAGTGTCCATCACTTATGCTTCTGTGGCAACAGCAGATTTTTTTTTCTTCCCAAAATGTGCTTATCATTTCTACATGAGGGCTAACCACTGTTGACAAGCATGGCAATAAAAGATATGTTTTAACAGGTTAATTTTCAACTTCNTAAAACCATTTTTTTTCCAAATTACAAATGGGTTTTAGCAGCGTCAAAGTAACTTAAACAACATCACAACAGATAAAAAAGAATTCAAAATGGGTTTTAGCAGCGTCAAAGTAACTTAAACAACATCACAACAGATAAAAAAGAATTCAAAATGAACCATCCACTTCACCATAGAAATATAATGTACAAAGAGCATGTGTGATATCTGAATCATTCTATACAAATAATCATCAACCAATTTCCTGTAAAAATTGTCTGCTCTTGTAATTCAAACACATGGATACATTATGACAAGTGACCCATGTAGAATGAGCAGGATGGCAATATCTACTACCTAATGGCAACAAGAACTCAATCTTCTACGGTTGCATAGTGAAAAATATCTGCATATGTTTTATGTGGCTTTGGGGTCTATTGATCAATTTTAATAGCCAAGATGCCTCAACATTAACAGTTTTTGTCATACTGGAAAGCCCATATTTTCCTTCAATTTTCTTGCAAATCTAAAGCAAGATTTTATTACTTTACAGAAACTAAGTCTTATAGCATTCTGTACTAACAACTTGTTCTATCTTCTCTATTCATAACCTCCCTGTTGAAAACATTTTAATTGTGGTTGAGCAACCTCTAATCTTCATTAAGCAGAAAGAAACAAGCTATCACTAGCCAAGTCAAATCGGCATGCACATAGATGTTTTCAAGCCACGACTACACCAAGCACTCAAATGTCAACATTCAGGGAAGGGTCTTTTTCAAATTATCTTTTGTCTCATTTCACTGATATAAATCACTTATCTGTTGGGTAAACAGATGGTGATATATCATATACACACACACTTTTACAAACACAAAAATATTGCTCAATACACTTTGTCAAATATATTTGATGTCTTATTATAGCTAAGTGTCCATCATTTATGCTTCTGTGGCAACAGAAGATTTTTTTTTCTTCCCAAAATGTGCTTATCATTTCTACATGAGGGCTAACCACTGTTGACAAGCATGGCAATAAAAGATATGTTTTAACAGGTTAATTTTCAACTTCACTGGCTTTTAATAGGATCAGCATCTCACTCCTCAACTGCCTTGTGGGTGAAACTAGATGTCAAATAAAATAAGAACTTTTAGTATTCTGAATTAGCAAAGTTACCCATAAAATCACAATAATGCTATTTTTTGAAATAAAGCATTATAAAACATCCATCTTAACATGAACAGGAATGTGTATATATCCAGCTTCACTTCTACAGAGATGCCTCAAAATATTTTCTGCCTCTGACTAGAACTCCATCAACAATTAATTGCCATTTCTACAAGTTTCGTCAGGTGGAAAAGCAGCAAGGTATGTGAGAGCTCATCTTTATGGAATGACAAATATACCACACCCTTCACCTAGAAACTGCATAGATGGTGGCTATGAAGTATTATATAACAAATTTATCGGACTTCTAGCAGCCAGTCACCCCTTGGAGATACTGGAGTGATTACACACCTCTTACAGATAAGACAGGTGCAAAAGAAAACAAATCTTCACAGAAGATCTTAACACTGGGGGAAATTACTAGATTCCAGGAAATTCCATCCTCAGGTTTCCATTTCCTAGAGTAATGCGAGAGTAATGCATACCATTTCAAACTCGTCTTGAACTCATCTCCCAAATCCTGCCTGCAGTAATGGCACTTTATGTGATGGGAATGTTCAGCTGTAAAAACTGTTGTTTGTCGACTGTTGATTTATTTTTCTTTGGAAAAAAAGCTCACATCAAAGCTAGCCATGAATAAGAACACATGACCCCTAAACATAACAAAATAAATCATAAATAACAAGAAAGAATGCTAAAAAAGTAAAGCTACAGCTCTCTCTCTTAAAGTTCAAAAGTTTGGGTTTGACATTCTTCTTTTGAAATAAAATGGAAAACGTGAAAAAAAGCAGATTCTGCTAAACATCCCTGGGTTCTTGAATTGCCTAATTTTGTTTCAATTAGTTCTCTTTCTCTCTTGCAAATCTACTAGCTCAAGCCTGATCTAGTAACTGTATTTGTTTGCCCAGTGAACCCTCCAGACATCCCTGTCAGCTATTATTAAAGCCACACAACTAATCCCATCTCGCACTCAGGTTCTAAATGAGCCCAATTGATAACCTACGTTTTCTATTAACCCTAACATATAAAGTTGCCTGTGTGTGTTCCGCTCCAACCATTCTTCTTTTCTACACAGAAAGAAATGGGGGCCCAAACAAAAATTCCTCATGCTGAGTGATGCAAGTCCCAGTCACACCCAGTTCAAAGCACGTAAACTTGCAGATCAGCTTGACAGCACTATAACCACAAGTATTATATAATTACAGCTAAACCAAAGGAATATTTTACATTTCTGGAATAAGAAAGTAAAAACATACTGAAAATACTCATATTGCAAATAGTGCCAACCATGAAATTTTAGAAAAGGGTGTAAGCATGAGCAGACGCAAAAAAAGTGTCCCAAAAACAAGCAAACAGGAAATGAAATGATCCCACATTTCCTTGCACCATAAAATCTTCAACTTAAAGCAATGTTAGAAGTGTGTGAAGGGGACCACAAAATTCTTGCTTTCAATGTACTTTTATTCCTGAATTAGCAGCAAAAGACTAAGATTTATTAGCACTTTGAGAAAGATGGTTATAAATAGAGAGGTATTTGTATTCTAACATATTTTATTATCACTCATTTTGGTGTGAAATACTGGAATCATTCTCTACATTTCAGAAGTCAGTTTTCTTTAACAATCTTCACAGAGCAATAAAAAGAGCCATCAGCTTGTCAAGTGATTGACTGTTTTTTCCTCAAGGGAAAATGAAAGAAAAGGTGTCTGCCATCAATTTACACAAGAGACCCTATAAGTAATATAAAACTGCATAGTTCTGTCTTGTTCTCTTAGATTACTCCATCAAGTCAAGAGAGTAAAGTACACATTCTAGTCTTAGAATGCTAGGGAACAAATTGACACTGGAGACTAAGTAAATTTAGATTTGTCCTTCCTTTATCAAGTCTTTCTCTTATGTGTACAGAGTTATGACAAACAAGTATATCGTGACTTTGAGGTAGAGAGTTATATCACGGCATATTGGCAACTGATTCAATTCCAACCACAACTAACCTTTATTAACACGAATTGCATTATATCAGCTGCACAATGACGTTTTCTCTTATACAAGACCCTATATCTATTGCGTATGTGTGTGTATGCATGTACACGCATGCATATGTCGTTCTGATCAAAACCTCTGTGTCATACTGAGTGCAAATCTTCTCTTTCTGGTTCTTATATGTAAATTGCTCTAAGAGTTGACAAAGAAAACAATGTTTCAATTATGGATCACTTTGCAGTTAAATCACTAGCAGTGGCAGATGTTCAAAAGTGCTATCAAATTTCAGTTTTCTTGAACCAGAGTCATTAGCATATATAGGATAACTGTAACTGGAACATCATGGAAGAGAATCATCACCAAGAATAAATTAGTTTTTGAAATTCAAATTTATGATGCAGGTTCTGAGTAATGAATGCCTTTTTTTTTTGGAATCTACATGCATTTCAGAACAAGGGTTGGCTTAAAAAAAGAATTGTCACTTTTAACTACCATTACCTTCAACCTTGTGGCTGGTATTGATGTATTTTTACCAATGTCATTAAATAATGCATCAAAATACAATATGCTTAGGGTCAATCTAAAGGCACCCAGGAATAAAAGCAAATATCAGTTCTGTCAACAGGAGTATAAAAAGATGATCAATGCATAGCAAATCCTGCAGGTGTTTATCAATATGAAATCCAGACGAAGCAAATACAATTTACATGGCACCAGAATTATTCTTTTCACAAAATGGAAAAAGTATTATACATAAATACATTTCTAACACTACACAATTGAAGGAAACGCCCAGTCTTACCACCAGGGCAGCCCAATATTCAAGGTCACATTAAGATACACCTCGCAGCTTTCAAGGTCAGTCAACAGTACTCATTTACTACTATTTAATTCCCAAAAACTTCAAATTTACAAAAAGTCAAAATTCATATTGTCAATATCACCATAGGTGAAGTTTGACTCAGCTCTGATGATCACAAACTTTTACTTAGAAATCTTGTCCAAGAAACAAAAGCCCATTGTAATGCTGCTCCTTACCACGACTTCTGTCTTGAGTTCTTTGTGGGTTGAGAACTGTACATAGGCTGTCCGGCCCCTGATGTTAGCAGGGACCTCTGTGTGATAGCTGACCATGGTGGAGGCCTGATTCTCGTCACCAAACTCCAGGAATGCCTGGAAACAGAAAGGAATATATTCAACTGAATTAGTTTCATTACTGTTTATGTCTTTAATTCATTTATTCAATACTCCTGCAAAAGTGCACAACTGTCTTTCAAAAACATTTTTCACAAAAAAAACCTTAAATCATAACAGTGACTTTAAGCATATCCTGGTGCTAAAAAAGTAAAGTCAAAAACTTGAGACATCTATATGTCAGTCTACATTTCAATATCATCTTAGCTAATACTTAAGCAAACAAGGCAATGAATCTCATATCAGATGTGTCAGCAACTCATCTGTTTTACTTCTATCAACTATTTTTTTCATTTCATTTCCTGTTATTAACAGATGATCCTATCAACACACCAGCACACCTGCCTAGGTACAAACCCATTAAGAACACCACGTCCATCATCCAGCATTGTGTTCTATCACTACAGGGAAGTTGAAAAGTTCAAACACCTCTAGTTCCACTACAATTACCAGCTTTGAAAAAGATTGGGTCTAATAATGTTTAAGTGCATGCTGCCTTACTTTCCAGCTGCTATCTGTTTGGTGTCTTCACATGACAACACGAGTTCCAATCTTTTCTACTTACAAAAGGACTTTGTTACAAATGCAATCATGCAAGTCTTCAATGTCAATGGAACCCTTGCATGTTGTTCCATGATCACAATCATGTTTAACACCTTGAAACAGCCAAGTGATGAATTGGTACACGGGGTATTTAAAGGGAACATTTGTACAATCTGCCTTCAAAGTAAAACCATTAGATGGGTATATGTTGTTAGCTTGTAAATTCAGAATAAAAAATTCAGCCACAGAGCAGTTTTCCAGGCCCAATTGCAAGGTACAAGAAAACCTACATATGTAGGATTAAAAGCACCTGTACCAAAAAATACATAACCACCAAGAGCGATGATTAGAGAAGTGTAATTTTAACCCCATGGGAACTTCATCAGAAACACACACAGCTAGCATGCAACACCTTTCAATCGAAAAACCATGTATCCTGGACTTGACACAAGAGAAGCTCTAAACTAGCACCTCTCTGCTGGGTCGGGCCAATAAAGATGCAGTTATTGCAGGCATTAAACAGATCAGAGGAGACATGACATTTCATATCTGTGTGCTGACTCAGTATCCCAGGTGAGAGCCAGCAGGGACCCCTCCATCTTAACAGCAAGGCCTTGGTGCTCAGCTGAGAATCAAAACTGTGGTAATGAAGCCAATTTCCTATATGTCCGCTGTGTCTGCCGAGTAGACATGAAGGGATAAATGAAATGTCTTGACAGGCAAACATAAACCCTGCACCATGCTGCCATCCTATAACAAGCATTTTGGTGACCTTGTATTAGCTTAATGGAAACCAATCAAGTCTATTAACTTTAAATGACAGCAATAATAGATCAGCAATTGTCAACAGAAGTGTTATTATATAAAAGTGGTTTGTGTGAAATTGCATTTTTAATATTTTCTCTCGGCCTTACTGTCCTTTTTTTATCTGAAGGGAAAGTTTTTCTTTCAATTGTTTTTATATTTATCTGTTTATCTATTATTATTGCCATTATTATGTTAATTACCCCATCTGAAAAAAATGTTTCAGATCTAGATCCCAGAGAGTATGCTCCTAGACATGCATTCTTGATCAAGATATGCAACAAACAGCTTAAAACAGAAGGAAAACCTGTGCAGAAGGCACTGTGCACTCATCACACCACCCAACCGGGAACACTTCTATTAAAATTCTCCATAAAAATATAAATTTCTACCAACTAAATCTGATGGGATTCCTTGGTAAAACTGTGCAAGTGTGCCAAATGAGAATGATATTCCATGTTCTCACTATTCATAAGTGGAACAGGTGAATATTGAATAGCCTGTGACTGCACCTGCTGCTACGGAAGAACTTGAAATATCAGTCAAGGGTCAGAGATTGGAAATCCAATTCACCACAATACAAGCTTTTCCAATATTCAATTATCAGCCTAGTTTGGTTTCTGGTATTGCATAACAAAACAATTACGTTGTTTACAATAATAGAGACAGAGCATCCATCTTTGACATGGCAACATTCAGTTATTTCTGAAAGGAGAGATATTTACTCTTCCGAAATCGGTCAAAATCCCTGCATATTTCCTTTCATTTACCCAAGTTGGCATTTTGTCATACAGTATTGTATGTATTTTTGCAAAGAAATCACATTTGGCAACTGGGATAGATCTTGCCAAAGAAATACAGCACTACCTGGAGCAAAGCCCATATTCTGTCTAAAGGTACTTAAAATTGCTTCAGTGGCTACTATGAGATGACCTTCTATTAGATAGCAATTAGCTTTCAAACCTAAAACAACTTATTTTCCCCATTTTCACTGTAGATGACTTTTTCAAATAAGCTGTTAACACTGTAAGTGGGAAATATTTCAAACCAATCATACCTGATTCTTTTTCTTCATGACCAAGACATTTGTTACTTTGCCAAATGGCAGACCAAGGGCCACCACTTCTGCTTCCGAGGCATCGGTGGGAATGCTGCGAATGTGGACCACTTTGGAAGGGGGACCCACCTGGCTCTGATCCAATTTAACCTGGAAACAAAAAAAAATGTGAATAAATTATATAATTCATTTGAATTGATATTTTCTTTTTTTACATTAAATATTGCTGTGTTACTTATTTTTGTAACAAAACCATCTTATTTGCATGCATTTTTCTATATAGTAAACAACAACCACAGTGAGAATTTCTTTCACATAATATTAATTTCTGTATCTTTGCATTTTATAATTGGTATTTCATGATAAAACTTCTAGCCAGAGAGATATACAATGTGTTCTGAACTAGTGAGTTACTGCAAGGAGCCCTTGACTCCTGACATATAGAAGAATATAAGATTCATCAAACTAAACATTTAGATGAAATATTCAAAGTCAAAGGAGCATTTTCTAAATACAGCATTATGGATGATTTATAATGCTATTTATAAGCAATTCAGAAAAGGGCAGCTGGGCATATATTCTTACAAACCAAATTCTGGTCAATTTTTTCCCCTTTATTTTCATTAATAATACAAAACAAAGTCTTCTTGACAATTTATCAATATATCTTTAATATGTGCATATTTTCACTTGCCCATGCCATGCCAGGCAAAATTGCTGCAGTTCACAGCCACCATTTTTCAAGTACCTGTATACATCATGCACAGTCTGACTTGCTAAGTAAACTGCAAGTGCACTTAGAACAATGGTGGTGCAGAATTTGAATTCACCTGAATCAGTCACACAAAACAATCTCTTATGTAAACCCGTGTAAAGGGAATGCAAACAGCCCGCCTCAAGGAATAAAGGGGTGGGGAAAGAACTATTGTCCAACCTTCACTAATAGCGTTATTTGTACTGGAGTGGCTTACAAACATTTCTCTACCATCTACATATAATATATAAGCTGGCCAAAACTGTTGTTAATGTCCTGTCACAAAACTAATGCATCAAGATCTACCTGTAAATGTCCAACTTTTATTTATTTGCCAACGCAAAACTGAGACCCCACAGGCCATAAAAATAACAACCTCAACTTTACACATAAAAGGTAAAATGTCTGTCTCAGCCCAGCCATTGTGAATGGCATGCTCTGATAATTCACACTTTTCCTAAGAGAGATGGAATACATGGAGCCAATAGCCAATTTAGCAGCAAAATGCTCGTAAGTAATAATGTGAGGCCAGTACATCAAAGTCTCATCAATGATACAGTGTCCTCTCCCGTCATATTCTTTATACAAAATGCCACTTTCATGGGTGGGTTTGGATTTTACCAGAACCATCAAGTTCTATTACATTGCTTTTCCATAAAGATAAACCCATTATACTGAACTGCCCTCTCTGTAGTTAACTGCCAAAGGCACACCTTGAGGACTCATATTTCAATCCCAAGGGCCATCTTCCCATCCTGAACAACAGCCATAATAAAACCCCTTTTACAGCAGGTAAGAAATTGGCCCACAATTAAAGTCATAAAATGTCAGGTGAGACAACCAGGCACAATATAATCCAAGCCCATAAAGAGTGCAATCTCAACTTACAGTTAGTGTGTCTGCACAGGATCCAGCCATGGTTCTACTACAGTAACTACTTTAATGAAATGAATTTGTAGTGTGCGGGTGCATACAGCATGCAAGCTCATATAATATGCAGGGTCTTTTTCGTTAAATTGCTGCTCAGCCACTATGCAAATAATGCAACTTTTCTTGTACAGTTTCAATGCTCTCAATGCATGTTGTATTCAATAAAATTTATTTGCTATAAAAGTTTATTTGTGTTCTCACCATTCAAAGCTTAAGCGGTATTTACAGTCCTAAAAATCGTGGCACATTTCTATCCATGCTGCAGGTACTTGACATTGGAAAATTGAGAACTAGCACTGGCAAGGAAATGCATACTTCACAGATCCTTTCTGATCTTTCTGAATGCCCTTCAACATTTCTTTAATCCAACACCGTTCTTTTTTTTCCCCCAATTGTGACAATGTAAATCTGTTACTTTACAGTGAATATTTCTATAATTATGACAGCAAAACTAACAAAAGAATGGTAAATTATTTATTTTTTTGGCATATGAGATCATAATGGAAGGCCATCAGGTTATTAAAACTAAATGGCAATTTCCAATTAGGCAAATGGCAAGTGTGGCAGCAGACTTCAAAATTTATAGGGTGATGCTTAGTAACTATGAAACGGATAACAACAGGTCATTATGTGCACTATATTGTCACTTCATCACCAGAAAAGTACACAATGTAGGTTAATATCACTTTTCATCCAAATCCATTCCATTATCTAATTAACTGAGTGGAGTAGCTCTCCTCCTCTTGTATATTTTATACAAACGTGCAGTCTGGGAAATGCTTTTCCACAGAACAGCCATTAGACATTGTACAATTTAATCTACCAAAAAGCCCCACTCAAAGTGGACGTTTGGGAAAACACAACTTCTCTGGTCTTCACAAAGCATGCCACAGCAGAACAATACATCGCGTCAACAGCATCAATAATTCACCACCCTCATTTGATGAGCGAGTTGCAATCATCAATCTACTTCATTACAATATGAAAGGCTACATCACCAGAGATCTGTTGATATAAATGAGGATATTGATTAAAAGAGAAAAGGGTACCGATAATGGACAACAAGCTAAAATCAATTGGAATAGAATCCAGCTTTTAAAAGGGATAAACTTTTCATGTGTTACATTAGATGTGCACTCAAGGGAGACATGTGTTGACACACTGGAAAAAGTTACACAGAGAGAAGAGTAAGTCTGATGCTCTCTTGCCATCAATCAATATCTCCTGTTTGAATATTTTCTCCAGGCAGTTGTTGTCGTTATCACGAAAACAGCATAAACACCATGTAGCACATGCAACAGCACGCAGTAAGGGAATACAAGGGATACATTTACCACACCACAGTCAGTCTTCACCTGAGCCTTCCTCTTGGATCATATTACCAGCCTGCATTATTGATCAGGGTTTGTCATAGAAATCTTTGCTTCACCTGCTGCATTAAAATACATGAACCAATTTCTTTGCTCGTCTCTTGTTACCAACGTTTCAACAAAGTTTGAATAAAGAAGGCAATTCGAGACCCTGACATTCTCCCTATCTTTGACAACCATCTTATTATGTTAAAGCTATGGAACTGGTTTGGTTTATCCAACAACTTGTGGTTATTTTTTCTTAATCTTGCCAAACTTTGACAGCCAGGAGGTCAGCTGTGTTTTTTTCTTCTACTAGCATCCTGTATAAACATGCTCACACCTTTTGTCAACAGATGGACTACTACTGATTAGTGAAGTACTTCTTTCTGAAAGTCACTTCTGAACAAAAAAGGGGAATTTGGTATGGTGTTCTAGTCAGATTTCAAGTGTTTTATATGTAAGATGAGGATGTATTTGGAATGTCTGAAAATGGCTGGGTGCTGTGTTTTCTTGTCTGAGCCTGTGTCATGCTGTGAAAGAACTTAACTCGTTTATTCTTATTGAAATTTTCTCCCTATCAACTCAAATCAACAACAAAACAAAAGTTACACCATAAAAAATTCTGAATTTAGACTGTCAATAAATAATTCCATCGCCTGTCATGCACTGCAAGCTGTTGCATTCAAAACAGGACAATAGCATTTATGTCATTATTTCCTTTCACAACACTACATAATCAGCCAGGACCCATTCAAATTGCAATCACAATTGAAACCTTTATATCTCATTCTCTCTTTAAAAAATGTTTTATGGCAATAGGCTGGGAATTAGATTAGATAAGATTTTAAGAACTCAGACAGGCAAATACTTCAACAGTTTGAGTTAAGTCTTAAAATCTAGAAGCAAGAACACTTAATAAAAGATCCCCTGCTTCTTAAGCAGGATTATCAAGGGGAAACTATTCACGAGTTCAGTTTGCTTTTCACTAATAAGGCTCCTGCTGAACATTTCATGGCACAATAGCTGAGACTTAAGTGTCTCAAGGTAAATGTTGAAGACACACCTTTACCAAGCCAACAGGTAAACAAACTCAATAAGACACCTGGATCTGAAGATCTAAGAGGTCTTGTTGGAAATGATGGAGTTCACTTCAGGAGTATTAAGTGACTGCATCCTGACAAACGGGCACCTGGGGGACTTTTTGATGAGACTCACTCCCACATGGAAGTCTCGTCTTCCATTGAAATTCACACAATGGAAAATGCCTCCAGTGAAGACGGGTTACAGGAATTTCTTTCAATACTAAACCGAAAATAAGTGTGGGAATTTTATTTCCATTTACCTCCCTTACGCAGCAAATCATCTTTCATTTCTTTCTTACCTTCTTTTTAACCCCACAAGATCAATTCAACTGCATTTTTTTCCTCATTCTAAATGGTAACTTTAAACCACACAAGTTTTCTAAAATTAAGCAAATTCTACAGGAAGCACTGGAACAGTTGCCACTGGTCAAAAGTTCAAAATTGATTACCGCGCAGAAAGAATTCATGATATGTCACATGATACAACTTCCCTTTTGCTTTCTCCAGAATTTGTGAGAAAAGTCATATTGTTCTGGAGTTTAAATGTTGGTTTCTTTTTTATATGATATTACTTCCTACTCAAACCTCACGAAACATAAGCTAAATAAAACCATTAATTCACAATCAGCAGGTTCTAAAATTGTTGTTTGAAAGGTGTCATCTGTCTCACCTTTTTTGCATCATTGTTTGCATCCATGACTGTGAGAGGAGAGGCTCCGTTTGTAACCATAGGGAGTTGTGAGTGACCTAAAAGCTCATCAGATCCACGCTGGAAAAAATAAAGAAGAGAACCAATATGTTAAGTCCTACTAGCAAACAGACTGAAAGAAGACTGAGTCATATTCACTCCTCTTCCAGTTATACATAATACATTATTTCAGCAGAAATTTACCTCCATTGCCACCATCACTTTCCAACTGAAAAATATGATTACAAAATTATGATGAGTCAGCAACAAGTGCTACAGAGAAAAAAACGAAGTTTTAGTAAACAAGATTTAAACAACAACTAAACCAAAACAGTCCATTCCAATCAGTACTGTCTGGAAACTAGATGTGGCAACGTATGCTGGCACTTTCTTTCCATCTCTCCTGCATAAATAAATTATAACGCTGCATGACAGTGAAATCAAAATGCGGTTTCAGGCACGCTCCACATATATAGAAAGAAGAATATTCAGCAGTTCCCTACCTTCATGCCCTGCACATACAGAGGCTGCTGTGCTGGGATGGGAAGTGTAACAGGCACCTGCGGGGTCTGAATAGGTGATAAACCATAGTATGCAGACGGTGGAGGACTGACCTTCGAGAATGACAGAAGCATGGAGACCTTTAAATTTGACTGACCAGGGTGGTGTCACAAAAAAAGTCTCTATGTATTTCCCCACGTGAGCTCAGATTGTCCGTTGTCGTAGTAATGATAATGTACAATGTGTACAATATGAGAGTTTCTCACCGGCAACCTTGTCCTATAGTGAGAACAGCGCAGAATGAGGTTCCCAGGCAAACTGACTCTTCTCCAACTAATCTCCTCCTCCTGACTTGACAAGCACTAGTGTAGATGATGTGTGAGTGCCAAGTAAAAATAGCGCACTTCACTCTGTCCAACAAACTGGCAGGGGATCAATTAATGCTAATGCTTGACAAATACACACTAAATAAGTCCTGGGTCAACAATGGGACCTGCTGACCAAATGGATGGATAGCATTGGGACTGAGCAATTATTGATATAACCACCCCATACAACTAGAGTTCCGCTTCCAAGCCCCTATTCAATTGCGCCTATGTAAATAATAGAACCTCCAAGCAATGACTCAGTGACAATAGGAGACTATTTTAACCCCTCAAAATGTGGGCCTTTTCATTGGATGACAGCAGCGGCACCACCTCGATCTGGGGATTGTATCGAAATATCAAGCCACTTTACTACCCTGATCACAAGTCTTTCCTATCAGCAACTTCTACCTCTCCCGATATCCTTCCTCCCCACAAAGTAGGCCTCTTCCCTTCCACACAGCACTGATGCAGTTAAAAGCACCTGTTTAACAATAACATCCACCTGGATCACAGTCAAATCAATATCGCTTTCATAAATCAGAAAGTAAGCAGCCAGCTATCCAGCCATCTAGATCCATTCAGTAATTAGTTAAAGTAGTGGATTGGATCAGCACTGGCTATGAACAATATGAAAACTGAGGTAATATATTCTCCAAGTCCCATTACCCTCCTTCCCTTGGGAAATCCTAAGTTAGAGGACCTTCAGCATCAATTTAGAGCTTGTGCAACCATTCATTCTGTAATGCAGCAAAGCTTCATAAATAAGTAAAATGCAATTAGTGAGATACTTGCAAATTGTTCCATAATGTGCAGGCCAAAAAGTACTTTCCTGAGTACGAAAAGAAAAGAAGTCACAGTATAAATAACACTTTCAATTCTTTAGTGAAACTGACAACCACAGCATGAATGTGATGGGCTGATATGGTTTGGATGTTTTTCCTTTTCCTTTCTTTGCTCAACACCAGATGGCAAGATAAAAACGCCTGCCTGCCGCCAGCGATTGCTTTTAATTATCTTTACAGCTACCCAGAACAAAGGACATGACATGCATTTTTTCTTTTCAAAGAATATGGAAAATGCATAAAAATTCCCCATCATGTTTTATAGTCTAAAAATCACATTTTTTAATGGGAAGGGGGGAGCAAATACAAAGCTCACTTTCAAAGCAGATGCTAAACAAAACAATTGTGCCAAAATAGAAAGTTTATGATAATCAAGGAGCATGGCAAACAGACTCAGTTTTAACAAACACAAGCTCCAAACTTCAAATCAGTCAGCACCAATACAGATCCCCCGCATTCAAAGATTTTTTCTTGGACATCTTCATTAGACAAAGAATGCAGTTTATAAGGCAGGCACCTGTCCCTATCTACCCAAAATAAAACCCGAGTAGCCACTGCTAATCAGGGTGTATGCCTGCTACCTGTCCAGTGATGTAACAACACCCAGGTAGACTACCTCTGCTGTCCATCACAAATCAATAACTAGCCCCTTCACCAGGCTCAGCGTAATCTTTAAAAATATATTCTTTACCATTGCTTAACACCTTTGATAGATATGCAATATTTTCAAACACATAACTGAGGAGCTTCAACCTAATCATTGTATTTGACATTGCATTTGAAATGCTAACAAGTTGAAATTTTAAACTTACAACCACTGACAAATAAGCTTAACTTTAGAGCATATGGCACTGTGATACAGCAGCTTATATCCCTGTTTCCCTCCATTAAATTTCACACGTTCTCAGACCAGTGATAATTAAAAATAACAAAACCACACAAACTATAATGCACACAGGCTGTTGCAAACAATTAATTGTCATTAGGTTTATAAAAGTGGAAATAACTTGAAATTGATGTTGTCAGGACAAGATAATAATTAATGATTCAAACTCATAATATATATTTTTGTCACTTTTTTTCAGCCTGACAAGATTAAAGGTAACCAATTTTGTTGAATCTGACACTACAATTTCTTGATCCCACTTAAATTTAGTATGGACCGAGGGAATATAGTACCATTACACAGCTTCCATTAAGCCGACCTAATAGTATTCATTTAATGTATACTTAACAACAAGGGAGACTTGACATTACTTATGGAAAGATCTTATCTAGATTGCAGAGGAGAAAATGAACACAGTTATGGCCATCTGAAAGCAAATAAGTCACATAAGGGGAATAAAGGGCAAAAAACTTTCCATCAATCAGCATTTAATCTGCTAAAAGTATTTTCGAGAAATGTGACTGGACCAAATAGACAGGAGCTGGGACAAGGGGCTATGCAGCTGGTGAACATCTTCACTGTATTATTAGATTTTTCACCTGTTCACTAATTACACATTTCCCCAAAATTGTAAATATTGGATCACCTGGTGCCTGTGGAAAACTGCATCTAAACTGGAGTTTAATCTAAAGATATAGTTCCTACCCAAGCAATGTATCTTCTAATGGTGCACTGCTACCATATTAGGATTGGTTAAAAAGTTGTGAGTAAAATAACTGATAACGTCCCCTCACTAAATACATGAAGAATCAATTATGTCACCCATCACATCAAATACAATCTGATGCACAAGGTAACCAATATAATGTTTGGTGAAAAAGTACATATGACCCTTGTGTTCTTCAGGTAATGTACCTAAAAAGTACACACATTACGTACTAGTACTGATCACAATTTTTGAGCGACCAAAATACAAAGAGGGAATTTTGTTTAATGATGTTATGAGTGTTAAACAGCTGTGTACATCTTTTCAGTTCACAAATCTACACAATGAGTCAAATAGGGCAAATGCCAGTTCAGCTGTATGTGAAAAGTCAGTTCATGACTCAACTAAGGAAAATCCTTAAATTATCCTAAATTTTAGTCACACTTAACCTTCTGCCCTCCCCTCCCCTCCCCTCCCCCTCTTAACTGACATTTCCATCTCCCCTTCTTCACGGATGCACAAGACTGCACCAACTGGCCCCAATCTTCTCCTTCACTAATCAAGTATTACAGCCTGCTAAGTGAGATTCAGAGTGGGTGGCATACCTGAGATGGCAAATAATAACCAAACTCTAGTGGTGCTTAGGAGCTCGGAGCTGGTGTTAAATTGTAATTTTGAAAAAAAAATTATAATAATAAGTTGGCAAACTATTAGAAATAGCAGTCAAATTTATTATCACATCACTAGCATTTATAACCAGTTCCAATCCTTCTGAAGTTTATCAATAACACCCTGATACAGAATTAAAAAGAAAATATTACTATATCATAAGTTTTAAATTCATTTAAATCTTCATTCATTTTGAATTCAAAAGTTTCAGACTACACATCCAGCTTTCATCAAGACTGTTTTCTTTTTAATAAAATGGAATAAGACATTATCCCAGATGTCTGCATTAGTTCAAATTTTTTAAACAAGATAGAAGAATAAACTATCTTGTATCTTATCAAATTTGACAAAATACAAGATGCATAGATATCATACAGTACTTAATGGCATACAGCCATCCTTCATTGCGTTGGCCCACCCTTGGATATCAACTAGAAATTGGGCTAAGTCTGTTAGACTGGTGTTGTGCTCTCTGACCTTTCAAACTGCTATAATTACCAGTGGGTCAGCAGGAGGGCAGGTAGAAAAGATATCAAATTTGCCAGCAGGGCAGCTTGGCTACACTGTAGCACCTTTCTCACCCACCTTGGCAGGGGAATGTGTTAGTGATGACAGAGGGCTCTCGACCAATTTATCACTTTTTATACTTATCTTGGTGAGTAACTGCAAGAACGTGATCATGATAAAACATGATCTAAGTTTGCATTATTTTTAACCAATGCTCTATTACAATAAGTTGCATACAATTGTCAAACAAAAATCACCTGAGCATGGAAGAAGATAAGCTAAAGAAGACAAGAGGTTTAAAACCAAACTCCATTTTGGCATTTTGGAGATACCTTGAAATAATAACTTAATTTCTAGAACTAACAAAGGATGCCAGTAACTGTCAATTACCCATCTTAATCAGTAATAAAATCAACCATTAAATGATTTTAGTTTTTCCTCAACAAGGATATAAATGTAAAATATCAGATTTTTTGTCCTCAGTTTCCATACAACATTAATGTTAGTTTTGCTTATCAATACCACCTCATGTTCACACTGCAGTTGAAGCATTACCTGTAATGTAAATAGACTGGAGGCTGCTGTAATAGTTTAACAGGAACCATGCAAAACATACTCTGCTTAACCACGCCCAGGTAATCTATAGTGTAACCATCTGAGAGGGTTGACTTGGCCTTATTATTGCTTTCCATTTGCATCATACAGATGTAATGGCAGGCAGAATCAAAGGCAAATGTAAACACATGGTGAAGACATTGTTACAAGTCATGCATGCAGATGCACAATCTAGAAATTTCCTGGATAAACTTTGCAACATGTTAGGTCAGGTGTTAACATCCCTGGCATAACCATGTCTTAAACATATCTCAATCTTCAAGAAAAACTATTTTTACCACCCTTGCAGGAAATCTCCCAGAAATACACTGTTACCTGCATGGCACCTAGAGATCCTGGGGCTTGGGCAAATGGTAACTTCAAGATGAAAAGGATGAACTGCTCACTCAATGGAAGCCAACCTATAAATAAATTCCCTTCAGACCAGTCTCAAACGCATTTGCATCAGATTTACTCCCTTTTCTATCTACTTCAAATATATGCTTTGCAGTGGGCCGAGCACCTGTAGAACCCGCATAGCAGACCCTGACCTTGAAATTACACCCCCTTTAATATAATCCCAATTTTCGGTTCACCGTATCAATAAGGTAAAACAATCTATTCAATGTTTATCTAAACACACAGACAAACATATTCATACAATTCACGAATGTTATACTATTACATGAACCACACCAGTGTGCACTCTTTTATTCAAAATAAATAATATAAGCACATGCTGTCTGAGTCCTTGTATACAATGAGCAAAAAATGTGAATTAAAGATGCATCACCAAAATCATTTAACTTGTTTGGATTCTCTTTTTCCCTGAAATGAGAAATATTTTGCTCACCAAAGATGCCATTAGTCTAAGCCACAAGACATTATTCTTCAACCCTCAATGGCCTTGAACTTCTTTATAAACCCCATTGTCCCAATCTTCAGCATAAACACTGGAGAACATTACACAGCCCTTTTGCTTCACATATAAACAGAGTATCATTTCTTAACAAAAGTAAAATATTGATTTGAGGTAAAAAATATGATGTGCTGCTTATTCCCTTAAAATGATCTGTTGATGTAAGCAAAACCATTAGCATTTTGCCACAAGGCTCTTGTATTTCTCTTTTTTTATGTCCCGTGCTTCATCTTCTCTTAATAGAACTGATATGTAAGAAAGGCAGAAGCGAAGTCAATGAAATATTTTCTCTAGTTCAATATTTCATCTGAAGATAAGCACCATCTCAATAATGCATAAATTTGTATAACTGTTCAAACAAAGATAAATTTTGCCACTCATGATTAAGCATTTTCTTGGGCTTAAAAACATTATTTTGCAAATATGCAATCCATCTTTTTAAAATACTTGGTTTATCACGAGTAAAAGCAGAGTTGAATGGTAGGCATGCAGCTTGTTTAACCAAAATCTGGTCTCTCACACTGAAAACTATTACACCTGCAATAATACAAATCTAGATTTGAAAGCAAACAGCACAAACTGAAAGTGAAATACAACTTCCAAGGAAACAATGGCCAAATGTAGTGTGTGGTTTTTACGGTTGTTGAACTATCAACTCCCTGGTGACTT